ACACCCCCCTGTGACATCTTCCCCCATTTCCAAATGAGCTCCTGAATCTGCCCTCATACTAATGTGAATCATGAGTAACTCCACTGAATTCAGTGTGTTTGCACCACTATAAGGGCCATTAGAATCAGGCCCTGAATCTCCATAGGGAAGGATGACCCACCTCCTACGAGATTAACCCAAATCTGCAGCAGTTACATAAAAGATTGGTGTCAACACAGGCACCCTGGAGAATATCAAACAGAGGCAATATTAAATAGTCACAAGCCTGAGTTTCTCTGAGGATGAGTTTTGGTTGGGTTTGAACTCTTGTACCACTAAAAATAGCACGTAAGCACCATTAACACAACCCTCTGACTCAAAAATGGCTGTATGCATCAACACACAGACTTGATGCAAAACTCATTGGGTTGTGCTGTATAGAAGGTCAGCCTAGATGATCATAATAGTCCTTTCTGGCCTTAAAGTCAATGACTCCATGAATATATCCTGTAATCGACTGAGAGCCTTCTCGGAAGAACCCAACACCCTCTACTCCTAACGGAAGCAGGAGGTATTTGGTATGTCTCAGGAGGTGCTGCATGCCTTGCAAGATTAGTCTCCTAATTGACATTAACTTTAAAACCAATTTAATCACTGTGGACTGGCTTGAGTCTGGAGACAAACTGGTACCTTTTGTCACCAAATAAGGATGATACGCCTATACGTTGAAAGGCCAGTCCTCTGCTGTTTTACAGTTCATTTCTTAAAATCTGAAGGTGCCAGGTGCTTGACAAAGTAGGTGCCATAGTACATTTCTAAATGCCTAAAGGCCTTTGTGTTTTAGCAACATTGGATACTCCTTTTGTACTCTTCTGCAATAATTCTACCGTGCTCTGGTATAGTGCAGTTTAATTGTCCGGCTGCTCTCTTTGATCGTCTCTCTTTGGGACCATTGGACCAAGGTCGCTCTTAACTTTGCAACTCAGTCACGGCATTTCAAATGGCAACTGTGCTGCATCGTGTCCTGTCAAGCCATTGCCACATTAATCTGTGCCAGCTGGTCAGTTCTCAATGGGTCTTGTGTTGTCATCTAGCACATGTCGATTTTACTTTTGATGATGCAGCTTCATCTAGGGCCTGATCCAAAGCCCTGTTGAAGTTAATGGAAATTTGCCCATGACTACAGTGGGTTTTGGATTAGGGAAGGATCACTGTCGCTTCCTGATGTCTTTTAGGCGTCACTGGTTCCTCCATGCTGGATTGTCAGGCATGGGCTCATCTGCTGGCCCAGAGTTTAGGAGTCACAGCATTACCACTTTGAAATCTCAAACCACTTGGCAAAAAGTTAGCCTAGCATATGGGGCTGAGTGCAAGAGTTCTGCTCTCCTAGACTTTGTTTCTCTTTCTTTTCTGTTTCAATAGCTGTATTGAAATCCATGCCAAAGTTCATGCAGGATGGCAGGGCAGTTTTGAGAAAGCTGACAGCAAATTTCTCCAATGTCTCTGTTTTACATTATTGTCATTTCAGATATGGAGGTTCAGTGTGCCATACATTTTAAAAGCCGATTTCTACAGTCTCCCATTGGGAGAAATCCTGTAGAATTTAATAAGAAGGGCTGCATTTTTGTAGGCATTTTTTGTTTTGTTTTTGATGATTCTGTAGCATTTAATAGAGGACTGTCTTTTCCATAAATTTCTACATGATCATTCAAACAGCCTATAGAAATGGTGATAATTTTCCATTACATTCTGTGGATTAAATCCTGGCTTTGTTGAAGTCAATGGCAAAATTCCTTACGGGTTTTTCAATTTTTCCGTAAGGCTCTTTTCTGTAGTTTTCCCTTGTGCTGTTTCCCCTTCAATCTGTAGCTTTGTCACGCAGCAACATGTGGCAATACTCATTGGTCTGCAGGTTCATGCTAATGGTTCATTACAAGACCTCCTCCTCACAAAACTTACTCGTGATTCGTTCTCAAGTATTTTAATTCAACTTCAGTCCAAAGGTTCTTTGAATGCTCATATTGCTGCTTCTGTTGCGCCAATTGGCAGCATCTCATTCCCTAGAAAGCAAACAACAAAAGTGATAAGGAACATTTAAAACCACCTTTAAAATATTGGTATGTGTCTTTGCAACCAGCAGTCTGGAAAGAACCATTGCCTTTCATTTCCCATCATAGGAAGCCACAGAAAACTGCTTGGGGACTGGATAGCCAGTAAATTATTTGATAGGCCTTGCCTACTTTGGCATGTTTTGTCACCAAAAACTGCCTTTTGTTGACAAAACAGTGAGAGTGTACACATTACAATGCAACTTTTGTTGGGGGGAGGGAGAGGTACCATCCAGTTTTGGTGACAAAAACCTTCCACACCCTCCTCCCCCATGAGAGAGTTTTGTTTTTTCCCTGTCCCTTTATTGTTGACAAAGAGCCAGTGTGGACTCTGTTTTGTCTAGAGAACTGGCTTCCGCCAGTATCCCATAGTGCCTGCCCTGATGGTGGTGCTCAGTGTTTTGTGATTTTTGCTGTCCTGGAGGCCTGCGTCTCTCCCCTTTCAAAGCTCCGGGAAGTATCTGACAGTTGTGTGAACTGCTCTGTTTGGGGAATAAACAAAATGAGCAAATCATTGCAGTGCTCCCCTTCTGCCCTGTTAGAAATGCAGCAGCAGGCAGATTGCTGCTGCAGGGGGAAGACTGGAGAACCTGCTGTGCTGCTTTGACATTCCTCAGCAAGGAGAGCTCACAGAGCTACTCATGATGCTGCTCCCAGCAGCTGAGAATGCTGCAGGAGAACTCAAAGCACAGGGATCAGCTTTGCCTTCCCACAACACTGCATTGTGGGATGCTTACCCACATTGCTCTGCTCTATCTGTCAACAGCATGTTAGCCATATGGCCTTGAAATGTCAACAATGGGAGGCAGTTTTCGCTTTGGCTGACTTTTGCATGTCCACAGCACTTTTGTTGCCAAAACTTCCTAGTGTAGCTATCACTATCATTTGTGTCACACTTCTTGCACTGCCTGTTGGAAATCAGCCCCTTTTCTGACAAGATGATATTCCTTTCAGTCACTGGTGCCAACAGCAGAAGCAGATATCAGAGTAGGGGCCTGAATTTTTCAGGATCAATTTAAACTACAAAATTCATGTTTACACAAGTTGTTTCCAAGTCATATTAGTACATAGTTTATTCTTTCCTCTATAGGCTGAAAATAACATGGAATAATCATACACTAAATAAAATGAAGTAACAC